CAGTTGTTGCCATGATTGTTGCTAGTGTTCCATGTAACCTATGAACTTGCTCTTGCCATGCTTAGCTTCATAAATATGTCTTCTTACTATTGGTTGCCTTGCCATGCCATGTATTGCTCTGCGGTGAGTGGTACAAGCTCACAAACATGCCTTCTTATCGTTGTTCCTGCCATGTTTGAATCTGTCATATAACTTGCCATGTTTACATGGGTGCCATCATTTCTTCTGATCCTTTTTGGCTCATGGTCAGTAAGGGAATTTTGTTTTATGCAATTAGGAGATTCAGGCCATGCCTTTGTTTGCCATGATAAGTTCTTGTAACATGTTGTTTGATAGCTCTAAACGTTGCAACCTGATGTTATTTTCTGCAAAGTCTGAACTGTTATTACTTGCAATCTTGCCATGTGTGTTTGAGCATGTTTTAGTGATTTCTGGAGATAGCTCAGTGTTCATGTTTTGTTATGCTTTACCTGTACATCATGCCCATGCCTTTTGTTTTCTTGTTGAGGTCCTGTAGCATGTTGTTTTGATGCTTGCAAGATGCCTAGTTGCTGTTTTGGACAGCTTGTCCTTTAAACTTGTTTCATGTGTATGTGTTGCACCGTTGCTCCGTTTTGAGTGTGCTCTATATGAAACTTGCTTAGAATTGCATATAGCTTCATATTATCATGTTGCATCCTTGTTTTGGTGTGTTTGCTTGATGTTTGTATGCATTTTGCATCAATGCCATGTTTAACTTGTTTTGCTCATATCTTCTAGGCCGTAGCTCCAAATATAATGAACTTTATATGTAACTTGACTAGAATTTCGTGTAGATCATCTTTGTGCATCTTAACTTGCTGTTTAACAACTTGAACATAAGGTTTATTCAGATCTGGACCAATTTCGAAATTTGCATATGAGGACTTACCGGAATTGTTATATGTTGTTCCCGGCCTCATTTAAACTTGCTTTGATGTGTTGCTCTTGTTTGCATCATCTCTTGCCATGAGTAGCTTCATGTAGCCTTTGTCATGCATCATGCTTGTTTGTGCATCATGTCTTGATCATGTGTGGTGTGTTTACCGTGTTGTGTGCTTCTTCTCGATAGTTCCTGTTTCGTTGCGACCGTGAGGATTCGTTCGTCTACGCTTGGTTCGGCTTCATCCGTTCGTCTTCTTCATGGACTTGTTCTTCTTCCTTGCGGGATTTTAGGCAAGATGACCGCTACCCTGGATCTCACTACTATCATTGCTATGCTAGTTGCTTCGTTCTATCGCTTTGCTGCGCTACCTATCACCTGTTTATCAAGCCTCCCATATTGCCATGAACCTCTAACCTTTGATACCTTTCCTATGCAAACCGTTGTTTGGCTATGTTACCGCTTTTGCTCAGCCCCTCTTATAGCGTTGCTAGTTGCAAGTGAAGTTGAAGATTGCTCCATGGTGGACAGGATTTTGGTTGGGATATCACAATATCTATTATATTATTAATGCATCTATATACTTGGTAAAGGGTGGAAGACTCGGCCTTTTGCCTGGTGTTTTGTTCCACTCTTGCTGCCCTAGTTTCCGTCATACCAGTGTTATGTTCCCGGATTTTGCGTTCCTTACGCGGTTGGGTGATTTATGGGACCCCCTTGACAGTTCGCTTTGAATAAAACTCCTCCAGCAAGGCCCAACATTGGTTTTACCATTTGCCTCACCACCGCCTACCTTTCCCTTAGGAGTTGCCCTCTCGAGGGTCATCTTTATTTTAGCCCCCCCGGGCCAATGCTTGTCTAAGTGTTGGTCCAAACCGAGCGATGTCCGGCGCCCCCTGGGCAACCAGGGTCTATGCCAACCCGACATCTGGCTCATCCGGTGTGCCCTGAGAACGAGATATGTGCAGCTCCTATCGGGATTTGTCGGCACAGCGGGAGGCTTTGCTGGTCTTGTTTTACCATTGTCGAAATGTCTTGTACGGGATTCCGAGTCTGATCGGGTCTTCGTGGGAGAAGGTATATCCTTCGTTGATCGCGAGAGCTTATCATGGGCTAAGTTGGGACACCCCTGCAGGGTATAATCTTTCGAAAGTCGTGCCTGCGGTTATAGGCAGATGGGAATTTGTTAATGTCCGGTTGTAGATAACTTGACACCAGATCCGAACTAAAATGCATCAACCGCGTGTGTAGCCGTGATGGTCTCTTTTCGGCGGAGTCCGGGAAGTGAACACGGTTTCTGGGTTATGTTTGACGTAAGTAGGAGTTCAGGATCACTTCTTGATCATTACTAGTTGACGACCGTTCCTTTTTGCTCTCTTCTCGCTCTTATTTGCGTATGTTAGCCACCATATATGCTTAGTCGCTGCTGCAGCCTCACCACTTTACCCCTTCCTCCCCTTTAAGCTTTGCTAGTCTTGATACCCATGGTAATGGGATTGCTGAGTCCTCGTGGCTCACAGATTACTACAACAACAGCTGCAGGTACATGTTTATACGATGATCATGACGCGAGAGCGATTTTGACTTGTTTTGGAGTTCTTCTTCTGCTTCTTCTTTGATCAGGGGATAGGTTCCAGGTCGGCAGCCTGGGCTAGCAGGGTGGATGTAGTTTGAGTTTCTGTTTGTGTTTCATCCGTAGTCGGATGATACTCTTATGTATTGTTATGTTGTATTCGTGTGGCATTGTATGCCTTATTTATGTATCCCCATCTATTATGTAATGTTGATGTAATGATATCCACCTTGCAAAAGCGTTTCAATATGCGGGTCTAGGTGGGACCTTCGAGTTCCTTTTGGATAGGGTCGCATATTGGGCGTGACATCTATTTGGCGACACCACAACGCCATCATCTTCGAAAAGATAACGCCGCCATCCTTCACCCTTATCAACGCGATCAAGGAGGAGGCTTGCTCTTGGGCTAATACGAAGTCAAAGATTAAGACTAGTTATTCCTGTAACCCCACATGCATTCTTGGGGTTAAGCACCCCCTTTTTCTTCTGCTCATTGGGTGTCCTGACCATGTCAATCTCTGTATGTGGCTGGGCACTACCCTGTATTTGCTTTGGGAAACGTTTCCCTCCGGTCGACCGGCCGGGTTTCGGCCGGTCGCTTCGTCGCGCGAGGCGCTGGCATGTGGGACCCGTGTAGAAGCTTTTTGACCACCGCTGGCAACCTATCTTATCTCTTCATGTGACCCGTTTTCATCCCCACCCACTTCGTTCCCCACCGCCTGCTCTCTCTCTCTCTCTCAATCCAATTCAAGCGGCGGCAACAACGACACCCACCAACGACCACGGTGCTGCGACGGGGAGGTGGGAACCGACGACGACGGGGATGCTGGAACCGGCGGCGGTGGATGCTGCAGATGTCGGCCACTGGAGCTGCAACGACCTCGACCGGCGTCACGGGGGGAGGGGGCACCACCGGTGCTCAAGAAGATGCGACCTCGACCAGCCATGGCGGGTGTGGGGACGGAGGTGGCGTTTTGCTACAGCCGACCCTGGTAGACGCTGGAAGCGACCATGGTTTTGGCTGGAAGCGGCCATGCATTTTGCTGGAAGCGGCCATGCATTTTGCTGGATGGCAGACACGGGCATGCAAGATGCTACAAGCACATGTCGGCGAGCTGCAAGCGTGGTCTGGAATAGCTTCAACCCGCGAACCAGGCGGAGCTGCGAGAGATGAGCGGTGGGCAGGGTGCTGAAACCGGATGCCCCCTCGCCACTGGTGCGTTATTTTTGCTGGAGCTATTGTTCTTTTTGCTGGAATTAGTCTACTTTTTTGCTACGATCAACCAGTGAATCTCTCCCGGTTCGAGTTTGTTTCCTACTGGAACCAGTGCTTAATTTTGCTACAACCATTGGCTTTTTTTTTGCTGGAATTGGTCTACTTTTATGCTACAATCAACCACTGAATCTCTCCCAGTTCGAGTTTGTTTTCTGCTGGAACCGGTGCTTAATTTTGCTACAGTCATTGTTTTTTCTGCTGGAACTAGTCTACTTTTTTGCTACAATCGACCACTGAATCCCTAGCTGAGTCTACTTTTTTGCTTCCATCATATTCAGCTGAGTCTACTTTTTTGCTTCCACCATATTCTATTTTTGCTGGATCCTGTCATTGTTTTTGCTTCCACCATGTTCTATTTTTTTGGCACCACATTCAGAGTTGCGACCGTGGGGGCATCGTCGGGCTGCCGCCGACGAGTTGGCCGGCGCTGCAGTAGAAGCATGCGAAGGATTAGGGGGAGGAGGAGGTGCATGGTTGCAGGGCATGG